AAGAAAAAAAAAAAAAAAAAAAAAAAAAAAAAAAAGATTTCGCCATTCCCGCGCACTAGCTGGTCGAAACGATGTACAGATCATATTCAAAATGAAGAGGTTGGATACGAGCTTCACATTCTTTGTCAAATATGGCTGTCTTCAGGAGCTCCAAAGACTGGAGACAAAACAATATAATTCAGTTGGCAAAACAGTCAAGATTTGAAATTGATGCGACTGCGATTGTGATCTATACACAAAATGCGGCAAGCAAACTCAACCTACAAATGATGTATACAACTGAAACACATACCGTACATGCAAGATTCTTTATCTGCATCCTGAAGGCTCCTTCATCAGAAAGATCAACATCATCTGGCAATGCGATGCAGTCCCACCACCTACCGAAAAAAAAGAATGAGTTTTAGATAATTTATATGTGGCGTAGATATATCACCAAAAAGCCTATTATGTATGATCATGAGTTACAGTATGTAATTTGGATCACATTCAAACATAGAGAAAGAAAAAGCAAGTGATTTCTAATGGCAGCATCAGTATATACCTTCTTTTGTATCCAATCGATACTGGTTTCCATGCCTCCAAGAGTAGGGACTGCTTTGGCTCACTTTGTTTTGCTTTTTTGTCTACATGTTCTGCTTTCAGTTTCCTGTACCTTAGAATGGTAAAGGCAATCGCCTAGCCATAATACATTTTCCATAACTAGTTAGTTTCTCTTCATTATTTAGTATGCGAAAGGTTATATACTAAAGAAAAGAATAAGTCGAAACTGTGTAAGCTCCATAAGTCACCGTAAACTAATATATGTTGAAAGTTCCATGGCATTTTATCTAAAATATTCAACAATTAGACATAAAAAGTGATACAAGGTATACCTTGGCAGCCAGGAGAAAAATATCATTTGTATCTGAAAATTAAGAATTGAAAAGATATAAACATCGTTATTGCAAGACAGAACATTCAAAGCCCAAAGAGACTAATTTTACCATTAGCATGTTTTATAAACTCTCCAAGCGCCTCTCTAGAATTTGATTCAGACTTCTCACCAGTGCAAAGTAAAGAATGAGAACTCTCCCAATCTGCCTCTGCGCATGATTCACTATATCATATTGAAACAGCACATTAGTTTAAACATGAAAACCAATAACAAAAAAACAAAAGTCGAAGACATCAAATCTCAATTACCTACAGTAGAAAGCCTCCTGACATCCTCCAGGACACGAAAGAGGCGAAGGCAAAGGAAACATATCAGTGTACGGCAATGCCATTTCGCCATTCATCAAAGAACTAACAACTCCTTCCGGAAGAGTATTATGGCTTGAACTGCTTCCACCACATTGTTCCTCATTTCCATTGTACTTCACACATTCATCTTCTCCGCTTTCAGATGAATCGCCGTCACAACAACCAGAAACACCGAGATTCTTAAAATAGAGTTTCCGGCCGATTTGTTTCTCGATCGATCCAACGAACCGGAAACAAAAACTACAAACCAAACAATCCACCTTGTTGGAAGAATGTTGGATACCAACAAGAATCTGATCTTTCAAAATGAGTTCATCTTCTTGAAACTCTGAATTTACATAAACACCTAACAAATTGGAAGAAATCAAAATTTTATAAACCAACATTGCAGCCATTGAGAAATCTCAAAATCTATACAAAGATAAAGCAATAACTTAACCTTTTCCAATGGTTTCATTTAGTTTCACTTCGATGCCATTGCATCTTCTACTAGTTATAAGCTTGTTGAAATATTCCTGAACAAACCGGAATCGAGCTCAGTTACTATAAGTTTCCATGGAGATTAGCTTCAAAGCATGCTTATTTAGAGAGAGAGAGGGAGAGGGATTTTGCCTGCTGTTGGAGAGTTGGAAGCGGAGAAAGAAGAGCGGCGATTTTCTCGTCTGTTTTGCAAACGGAATCCATTAAAGTGGCCGGAGATTTTCTCGTGCGGCGGCGCGTCTGTATTTTTAATTTGGTGCTATTTTGACTGTTCGGGTACAAAAGACCAGAGAGACTGACTCTTTGGTGAGATGG